TACTTATTTCGTGAGAGGGGGCCAAGGTTCTGCCCCTGTTCCTCGGTCCAAGATGCAGGCCCTCGTTGCCTGTCCGATCCAAGCGGAAGACATCGTCATGGTGGGGTGTTTGGCTGGGACGCCAAAGCTGTGGGGGTGTCGCTTACCACCCACGATCTGTTGTGGGAAGTTTGACGGTGAGCATGCCCGGTTGGGACCCGGAAGGACAGTGAACTAGGCCTGGGCACAGTGGGCCAGGGGCACCAGGGCAGGGGCCGCTCACTTGAAAACCATTCCCCACCCGGCCCTCAAAGTCCTCATTGAATGTTTGCTACAATTGCAAGATCTGCACCGGGACCCGCCTCATCTAGGCTCACGCTTCAGGCTCGCAGCAGGCCAGCGCCCTCCTACTCGTCGCAGCATTAGAACTGTTACGACGGTCAAGCATATGCCGTACACACCGGTGCCATGTGCTTTGCGGGACTGACTGACTCGGCAGGGGAGTTGTTAACACGCCCCTCAGCAGATTTCGACTTCAATGACCACCGACCTGCTGCCTATATCAATCAACACTCTTGATGGTGTCTGACTTAGCGCGCAGTTGACATCAACCATGGACGTAGGTGAAGGGAGCAGTGATGCCTGATGTGCACATCAGTCGTCTCACTCGGGTATAGGAGCGAAGAAACTAATCGAATCATCCAACAGGTGGTTCCCTCACGAGAGCTGGAGTTATGGAGTATCGTGCCGCTGCCCGATCTGTTGCTGTGGGTTTTCCCACTACCAGGCACTGTGTTAGTAACGAAGGTAGGAAGGAGGGGGATGGATCTGGCGCGGATCCGCGCCAGGTACATTCAAGAATGGAGATGGCAGAAAACGGGTTGGGCGTTGTGGAGGATGCATAACTTGCTCGATTCTCAGCAGAATCGGGCGAGTGAGGAGGCGATTATAGGGTTTTTAGCCATGGCAGACCTAATGGTAGCATCGGATTGCGTCTGAGTAGCCGTTCGGCCAGGATCAGCAATAAAGGCTGTGCAATTAGCAAGTGGGGACGAGTGGGAGATGGCAAGGCGAGGCATGGATTTTTTTCGTATTACGATGGAAAGTCCATTCCCTCCGCAGCAATGCATACCGTGGTCTCAGTTCTGGTGTTACTCGTCCTGCTTTATTGGTCTCCATCCCGACACTGCCTCTCGTCTTCAACATCTGTGTGGATATGTGGTCCACTCTAATGGCCTTGCTGCTAATCATGCGTATCTCCATCAAGGTGGTGCTCGTTAGTGCATCCATAATCATGGGTCGTAACGAACGAGGGTGCAAGGGAGAGGGAGAGCTCATCTGGTTGGCTAGAGTTATATACGCAGCCCTGCGTCATGAATCTTTGTGCCTGGTCAGGTTCCAGTGGGGAGTTCATTCTCATATTGCACATTTGGTGAGCGGATGAGCCAGCTGCTGGTAGTTTTTATCATTGCGCTGTTGATCGGCATTCCCCGTCGGCGTCACGGCTACCCCTCTCCTCGGTGGTCTTGCTGCTCGTCTTCATGATAGCCGAGGAGATGCTGCTCGTCGATGTGTTCGCTGAAAACTGCCTCGTCACCTTGACGGTCGTTGTTTGCATCCGACCACAATCAGGATCGAGGTGGAGGCGGTCGCTGTCATCAACAGCACGCACGGTCGTCGTGCTGATAGTGGATCTGGGTCAGGCTCGTGCTCACCATCAAGGTTCTACTCGAAGGATGGCCTGCCATTCTTATCATGACCATCATGATCCTCATGATGGTACTCATCTCCAGTAGGTTGATACGCCTGGCCCAGTTCCAGCTGCAGATTCTCTCCTGTACGATTCAGGGGGAGGTTCGGGGCTCGTAGGTGTCATACTTGTTGCGAGCTTGCAGTGGTTGTGAGCTGGGAATTAGACCTGAGCGCCGCTCTATCCAGGAGAGTTTTGGGTGTGAGCAAGTTGTTGGGAATTAGCTGGAGTAGCTTATCAGTTAGGGGACGACACAGGGAGTCCTAATATGAATTCAGCAAGTATAGAGATTTCGCACAAAGCAAGAGGGCAAGAGCTCGCTCGGTTCTGGTTCTGTGTAAGCGATTGGAACACGTACCTAACAATTGGCAGTGGTGTGAGAGGGTGGCATCTATATAAACATCGGTGACTGCTGCATGGCCCTTGATGGACTTTGCTACTCGCTGCTGCTGCCCGATTTCGTCATTACGACTGTTGTTGGCTGAACACTACTTTGGCTGAGTTTTTGTCATACTTTCGCCGTATATGGACGTGGGTTCGTGGAGGTCGTTGTGTTTCCCTCGTATCAGCCTGCTGTGTCCCTCAAATAGCTGCCACGCTGTTAATATTAAGTTTGCACTGCCGCTACAATTCATATCAGGGTGCGGTTATTCAAAGTAGTATTGTTGTGTATCGGGGCAAGGAAGATCACAGGGGGGGTTGGTACGAACAACGGAGGGTACTTACCCGGTGAACTTCGTGGCTATCCTCCCTGTGAACATTGATCGTGGGCGCTCAGATCGGGATGCGGTCCCGATAAAGGAATAAACGGGAAAGAGAAGGCAAAGAATCTAGACACAGGATTGCGTCAGATACACTAGAAAAACGTAATAAAATAAAAATTTATATTTTTGCATTAACGTGTATCTTCCTATTTTTGTAGCGGGAGATTCATTCTCCCTTTGTGTATTTGGTGAGTAACAGGGCATGACCGCAACTGCACACCCCAGTGTCATGATCTTCACGCAGGATGCTTCCGAGGTGTCTTCCGCTTGTCAAACTAGTTGCGCTTGCGAGTTTTCTTCCCTGGTACTGCAGAAAACAGCGGTTGAATGAACCAGGTCAGGGTTGATGGCCAGATGCAGCCACCCACTAGGCAGAAGGAGGAGCAAGTGTGTGTGTGTGAGAGAGAGAGAGAGAGGGTACTTACCAGCTGAACTGGCTATGCGGGATGAACCGAAAGTCGAGCTACGGTGACGAACTACGTGTATGACTAGAAAGCAGTATAACGTTTCATGTTTTAGTGGAAGATTCAGTCCAATTTGCTCGTGTGAAGTAGCGTGAGGCCGCACATAGAGAGAGGGAAAGCGTCAGAGTGCTTACATCGGATGGCTCCCCCGCCAAAACACGATCTGCATTGGAAAGTTTAATGTGAGCCTGTCTGTTGAGGGCCTGAGTGGTAGCGAGCTATGAGTTTGAGTCCAGATAGAAGTGCTAACTGTGA